CTCATTCTCAGTTGAGAGGAAGTTCGGTGTGCGATTTGGACGACGAATCTTCCTCGGTTCGTTTTCATTCATTTAAATTTATTTTTTAAAGTAATGAAATTGCACTCCTACGATTTTCAAAGTATCGAGAGTGTGCAGTTCAAGGCCCTGTAGACAGTCAGCTAGGGTATCCTGTGTTTGTGATGGAAGCTTCAGTGACGGCTTATATAAAATATAAAAATTAATCTATTGAACTGAAATGTCCCAATTATTGGAATGCTCCTACACACGGGGCTTTAATTGGGATGTTCCAAAACAGATGTAGCTTTCAACTTTCAAGTTAATACCGTCTCTATCGGTAGTGTTGTCGTATGGGAATATCAGCACTTTGTTACCGCTACCTTTGCTGCATAATTTTCGGGCCCACTTCCTTCGCGCATTGAACTTCAGCAGCATCTGTAAGAAATGTGCACTACAAGTTTCTGACTCATGCAAAAATGCATGCTTAAATTGAAATTCTGTAGAATTTTATGTGAAAATATCATAAAATTAAAATTAAGATTTAATCAATGTAGAATTGTAGGTTGGCGCAATTGGGTCGCATATGAGCGGTGACGCTGTATCCATCAACAGCGATGAGCTGACCGCAATTATTGCTGATTTGCAAGTTCGGATTCCTGAACTGTCAAACGATGAAGCGATTCAGCTTCAGAAAATTGAGGAGGGAAGTGCAAAGGGCACTACTGTTTCTCTCACTAGTAAGGATCGTGGGAAAGGAAGGATATCAGGTGTTGCTCCGGTTGAAGAGGATGGAAATGATACGACGGATAGTGGTTTTCAGTTGAGCGATGCCTCATAGCTTCTTCGTTTTTAGGGATTTTTTTTTTCTTTTCCGTGATGGTTTGCCCATATGTACATTTGTGTAATCCATTATTTATATACTTTTAAACTTTTTCCTTTTTATTAAATTTTCTCGTCACTGACCAATTTTGACACGATGAGATAAGAACTGACCAAAATTGACCATTGCTGTTCTTCGGATAATATATGATGCCTGAATTTTCGGAATTAGTTCAAAGCATATTGATATTTCTTTGCGTTAAGTTGATTTTTAAGGAAAACAAACGTACCTTCCTCGAGTCAACAACTTTTTCGCTACACAAAGTATACTTGGAGGGCCAAAATGAATTAGCTTATTAATTAACTGAGATAGTGGCGGAAAGCATTAGCAAGTCCCTTTTCCTCCCGGGAAGATAGTTTTTTAGGAATTTTTTTACGGATAATTTCCAGTTAGTAACTAAAAACAGATTTTCTATTAGAAATTTTGAAAATTTGCCTGAAAGACTGAGAAGACGGAAATTTGAGTTTTCTGTGGAGTTCCTAGGGGTAGGAATGCCCCCAGTATAAGCTAAAATCGTGCAGAGCATATTCCTGTTTTGTAAATAAAGCACTAGAGTTGACGCTGAAGGAACGAGCTTGCAGCCTTAAAGCCTGAGTAACAGAAGTCACCAAGCCTAGCTTCTAAGTTTTGCGGACCTCATGTACCACTGAGAGATTTAGGCCGATAGTTCATGCAGTCTTATTAAGAAATACCTAAAGCTGTGTTAGTAATGCCCCTTAGAGTCCGGGACCCACTCCCAAGAACAATAGTCAAATACTCCCCACTCGTGGGAGGCGTTTCAGTAATATCACTAACATGGGATACCCACACTGATTGTCTAAGCGGCTTTGGTAATCTTGGCATTAATCATTGCCATGCTACAATTGCGCTTTTACACCGTTATCTTGCTAAATGCACCAGGTTATCGCCCCTCCAGAACTCATCATTCAGCAAATAATAAGTGGGCATTATCCCGAATTTTCGAATTACTCCCAAAATTAGCTGTACATTTTTTTATGATTGCAGCAGTATAACTGTTTTCTTTTTTGCTGACCAAAATTGCTGTGTATTTAGCAGGCTTACACATAACACAGTTTTACTGTACTCAAAATACAGTGCGCCGATGTAATTTAGAGCTTCTCTGTGATATGTTTTTTTTTTTTTGACAAGTAGTTTGGGTGTATTGATATTTTAATATTTTCTTTTCATACTGTTTTGTTTTAAAATTAATCCTGTTCCAACTAGGTGGCAAATTTGTACTGGAAACCTTCGCCTCAGAGCACTTCAGTATCTCTGAAACAGGAAACTAATTCCGGATAAAATGCTTTGAAAACCGTATGGGAAGGGATAATGTGCGGGTGAGCGATGAAATATCCCTACCAAATCCTCTATAATCCTGGAAATTTCCACTCGGATTACTGCGTTGTTTCTCTCTTCTGTATACCACAGATATTATATAAGCGGGTGCGAAGGGTTTTTCGCGAGCTTAAAAGGCTAAGCTTCATATGTGGCCCTCGTACTTGCCTCACTGCTAACTATCAAAGCGTAAAATTTCCAGTTTTGTCATTGCCAACCTCGGAAAACCCTTTTTGAGCCCATTCTACCCTCCTTAGCATGATATTTACCGGCTGTGAACATGCGAGCTGCATGTCGTACCCATCAAATTCTCACGAGAAGGTCTCCAAGTCTTAAAAACTTTGGACGCGCTTCCACTGTTAGCTTGCTTTTAACCTCTGTGAAAACCGTCGGCAGCTTTGTCTTTGGGATAATGCTTTTGGTACTTGCTACCGTTCTTCGGTCTGGTTTCGAGTTCCTCCGTTATTTACAAAGGGTAAGAAATGAGGCTTTTGACTTTTAACATGTTTGCCAAAATAGCGATTTTTTGATCAATTTTTGCTAAATTTCAAGAAGAAAGTCAGGTGGCGTAATCGCTTTCATCCTCGCTGCCTTCTTACTTTGACTTAATCGTTGTCCATGTAAGTTTTTGCTCGCTTTCTTGATTTCTTATCTCTGTTATCGTCGTTGTACGTCAAATTCACTTCTTTCAAATCTTCACGTTTATAAGTTGTGTATTTATTTGCTAATTTATTTACCTATTTATATGCTTAGCTAGTTTTTCCGATAGCAAAAAGAATGCAGTTTTGTTGAATATTTCAAGCATTTGTTGATTCTGCTTGTCAAACCTCTCCAGTTTTTCACTTTTTGCGAGTGCTGCCGGCATTTGGAATAGTACGTGTGGCAATATGTTGGCAACAGCAGCCATTCGATGACAAAACTCTCGAGGACCGTTTTTCCAAGAGTTCCTGTAGGTGATTATTAAATCATAGTACTGGTATGCAGAGGGTATAACTCAACAACCTGGGAAGTAACATGTTTTTTACTGGAATTCCTGCACATGAGGGTTTTGATTTCCCGATAAATTCCAGTATTAATTTACAATCGAAAAGAGTTGACCGTACGAGTCTGGTTTTTTTTCTGGTTGTGTATTAGCACCGATTTACTTATTCCACCATGCCACAGAGTTGAACTGTTTTCAGTTTACACTTCCCTCGGGGATTCTGGGAGATGTCATCCGAAAGTTTTGCCACTGTGCTGTTATTGCCAATTCAATATTTCCGTGTAAGTTATTTCCGAATGCTCGTAACGCTTGGCAGCTGTTGCTGCTATTACAGTACCGCCATTCCAGATTCTTTCTCCTGTAGTGGTACTTAATAGATACCAACATGCACGAAACAGAAATCACTGTATTCAGTTCCTGGAGGAGAGGGATTATTTGTGGATACTTTTTCATCTTGTGAAAAAAAAATTGCCTTCTTTTGTTCGCCTTATTGCTGTCGATTTGTCGCTTGTCTTGCTTTCATAATGCTGTGTTCCCATAATGCGCCTCTGAAAATGCTCCAGCCAGAATTTTTCTTTTTTCTTTGAATTTCTTGAATGTCAAATTTCTTTGTAATAGATTTTTATAATTCCTGAATTTTTTTTCAGCGGATATTTCAGCCGGTGTTTGTTCTTTTTGAAAACTGAAACTTGATTTTCGAGTTGGGAAAACGAGCTCCTTTTGTGTCTCCTCCTTTCTCCTGCCCTGAAATCTCATCCTTTAGTTCTTTCTTTCAGTTGCATCTCAAATAATCCCGACCATGCAGCCACTTCTAGTGTCTAAAAGCGAATTGATTGCTTTGAGGAAATCTATAAAAAAAGCTTTTACGAACAAGCTATTTTGAAACCTGGATGCTTAGAAACAGTTTCAGTTTTCGCAGCGCTTCATCTCATACTTTTGTATCTATCTGCTTTCCATGTAAACTCAAGATCCAACGAACTTATGATGAGTTTAAGCCTTAGCTTGCTGGTATTAAAAATTCGATCGATTTGATCCTGGAAAATTTCCAAATCCATCCTTCCTGGTTTTTCCTAGTCTCAGTTTTATGGCACTAGCGTAACCGCCTTTATGGTATGAGTATTCATTTGCCTCATCGTTTGTCAGAGCCGAAATTTTGCGGATGAGAGAAGCTCAAATTGAAAGGATTGGAGAAGTTGTCAAATGTATCAGTGGCGAAAAGAAACACCATGACGAAACAACCATCAC